GCATCATGCACGCCCATATTAACCGGTCCCTCTCATATGTGCGGCACACGTATGTGTTGGTCATCACCTCACGCCCACACTATCCGTTATGAAAGGGCACACACTCTACAACTTTATAACAATTATTTATGACAACATTGTATAATATGCCTTTTCACATTTTCTAGTATTTATATTACTTATTTATATTTTATTTGTATATCACAAATATTTATCAGAATTTCAATTTAATTTATAATTTTAGTTTAATTTTGTGTTTTATATCTTTTGTGTTTGTTTTTACTATTAGTTGTATATTAAGGATAATTTAATTAACGTAATAACAATGCTTTTCAATTACCATCAAATCGATATATAATTATATTCTCTAAAACTATTTAACTAAAAATAACAATAATACTAATAATAATGGGAAATAGTAATGAAGAACATGTTCAGAGTATCTAGAGTAAAAATAAATTATTATAATTAGATCAAAAACTATTATAGTTTATAATAATGTTTATTTAATTTTAATTTTCAGATAAATTTTTAATTATTTCTATTAAGTTGTTACTATAATATTATTATGTTTTAGTAAAAGCTAATTATTTATACACAACTACAGTATATTGCGAAATAAAATATTACATAATAGCTTTGGCAATAAAACGTATGATTCAATTGCTTGGTTTATGACATATTACGGGTATTCACATACAGATCCTGTACCTGAGGGTTTACTAAGGTGCTTAATATGTGAGTTAATATGAATTACTTATAATGTCTATTATAAAGAATAATATTGAGTTAGTACTCATTGAATCAATATGTCATAGCAAATTACATTATTAATTTTTTTACCTTCATTTCATATAAATTTATATAGATATAGATTTATATATTATATAAAAATGAATAGAGACCAATTTTATAATACATTCAATGGCATAAAAAATTAATTATTTATTAATTAATCGATTCCTAGTATTGAATGGTTTTTCATATATTATTAATATTATTAATTAAACTTAATTATTATTACGATTATAATTCTTTCTGATATTTTATGTATTGCCACATACATTGTCTACCTTAGCAGTCAATAGAGAATTGTATTACCTAAACATTAATTGTATTATATAAACATTAATAGTAATAGAAAACCTTAATAACAATCATTGTCTCTCAGGCAAAGTAATTATGATCTTATTTTTGCTAAATATTGAATTTCTTTTCTAGACAATCACACCAAACCCTTAAGGTTAATGTGCAATAGAAATCAATTTATAGCAATAGTGTATCGCATTTCAACTTCAATTTCATTATAATTATTATGACTTTAATTTTTATAACTTTAAGTTGAATTTGGCTTTTAAGTGGTCTGTCTTAAAACCATAATATTTCCGCTTATGAAGCAAACCATTCAATACAATGGACTCGCATTTTGAGACACATTTACTGAAAACATGTTGAAAACGATTCCTGAATTTTAGACATTTATATTCGCAATATTGGAAATTTTTGAGACTTTTTCAGAGCAAATCTGTTGAAAATAATAATTGCATTTTCGATGTAAAGACGATTTATATGATTACTTTAAATCTAAACGACATTTTCAAAAGGCTAACAAAACTGATGACCACAAATACAGATTTAAAATATAGAAACAAATGTACAAATATCATAGCTATTATAATAACAAATGATTGTCTAAATTGGACACATGCTTTAAAACACAAAAATGTTTTCTATATTAAAAATCTAATCGAGAATAATATTGCCATATTCTGTAACATATTGTCTTAATAAAGGCTACAATGAAGAGAAATGCCAGACCCTGAGTGACCACTTCTGGTGCCCACTGGAGAAGCGATGTCTGCCGGTGACTGTCCGCTGTAACCACATCCCTGAGTGCTTGGATGGCGCCGACGAGATTGACTGCGGTATACAAAACATACAATTTATTTCAATAAAAAAGTTTCCTTCCCTTAGTTATCGATACGTATGAATTGAACTTTTCATTTAATTTAAATCCTTTATAACACAAGTATTTTTAACCATTTCTTGGCACAGACTTTGAGAATTGCAGCGGATTTTCATGTGCTAACAGTCAGTGCATAGACACGAGTCAGAGATGCGATGGTATTGTCGACTGTTTTGATAAAAGTGATGAAACATTCTGTGGTAATGACTTATTCAGTATTTTTTTGTTACACTTTTCACTTGTATTAATAGCTGTGTTGAATATAAAAATATTTTATTGATTTTCTAGACGACTATAATTGTGTGGATGGGCATAAAAAATGCGATTCCGGACAATGCATTCCGAGTAAGTTATCATTCAATGAAAGTATTTGCCATAAAGAATATACGAGAATATTATAAGAATATAGTTCAATGATATGCCATTTAAAAGGGTACTCGACTTCTTATTTGCATTTAATCTTATATTTTAATGTTTCATAAAACTTAACAAAAACGAAATTCTCGTCAAATAAATTCTTTTCATATATTTTTAAAAAGATCTCAAACATGTGGAATTGTATCCTAAATGTAATAAAAATAAATCAAAATAATAACATCTCTCTCTCTCTCTCCCTCTCTCTCTCTCTCTCTCTCGTAAAATATGCCGTATTTTATCAAAGAAAGAAACTCTCAAACTATCAATTTTAAGAAATATTTCCAATTTTTACAAGAATTCAAACTTAAAATCTTCGGCATTAATAATTTTTCATTTCAAGACAGAAACCGATTCTTATTTTTTATTCATATATTCTGTTAACTGAATACAAAAGAGAATAAAAAAATTTTTTTAATGACATTAGAAATGCAGGAAATGTACAAAAAAAACAATGGAATAGAAAAAGTTATTTTATATTTGTTTTCAAAAACTCATTATTTAATTCTTAATCAGATCTCATTGTTTTATATAGTATTCATGAGAAGTCATCTGAGAGTTGCATAAAATATTAGCTTTAATTTTGTAGACAATATACCGATATATTTATATGAGCTCCTACTCAATAACTGTTTCACTATAACTTACTTTTTACTAGCAATCTGTTAATGCAGTCTTAAGAATATTCACTAAATATACATTTATGAGCGCATTATGTGAGTAAAGAATATTTTATTAAATATTTATAATAAGATGATGTTTTGATATTTGAAAAATATTTTGCAAGACTTGACGGAAAATGATGTTACAATATAAACACTTTACTCATTCATCCAAAATCGTGGCTCAATAGACGCACGGCTTTAATCGATTTTCGTGAACATTATATCATAATTTACATCAAACATGACTCCGAGTCTGACAATGAATTAACTTTTCCGTGAGACGAGAGACAATTTTTAAGACATTTCTCAGCTTCACTTTAGGCAATGAATCAAAACTAACAAAAACCTAATCCAATAACATATTTCCCATAAAATGTGCACTAATATTGAGAAATATTGCGAAATAATTTTTATTCCTGAAAGCAAATGACATTTTCTCAAAGAAAATCATAATCATAGAGACAAACGACTAAATAAATGCNTCACTTTAGGCAATGAATCAAAACTAACAAAAACCTAATCCAATAACATATTTCCCATAAAATGTGCACTAATATTGAGAAATATTGCGAAATAATTTTTATTCCTGAAAGCAAATGACATTTTCTCAAAGAAAATCATAATCATAGAGACAAACGACTAAATAAATGCTTTATTCTCAGTGAATGCTATGCATTATAATCACAAAAAGCATTCAATTTTACATAAAGCTTATAAAAGTGTTGAGATAACAGATGGAAATCGATTTAAAATTTTAATGCATTTTTATTTTGTTGTTTTGCAGTGAGTTTTTGGTGCGATTACGTGAACGACTGTCCGGACAGGTCGGACGAAAACAACTGTCAAAGTCATCACCGGAAGTGTCGTACCGATGAGTACGAGTGCGATAACGGACAGTGCATTAGCCATAAATACCAGTGCTTTCTGTCGGTCGACCCGCGGAATGGTTGCGCCGACAGGTCTAACCTCAAGAACTGTTCGCAGTGGCAGTGCTCTGACGACCAGATCAAGTGCGCCGACAGTTATTGTGTGGACGGACAGCT